GTGTGTCAGTGTGTCTCAGTGTGTGTGTGTCAGTGTGTCTCAGTGTGTGTGTGTCTCAGTGTGTGTCAGTGTGTCTCAGTGTGTATGAGTGTGTGTCAGTGTGTGTGAGTGTGTCTCAGTGTGTGTGTGTGTCTCAGTGTGTGTGAGTGTCTCTCAGAGTGTGTGTCAGTGTGTCTCAGTGTGTGTGAGTGTGTGTCAGTGTGTCTCAGTGTGTTTCAGTGTGTCTCAGTGTGTATGAGTGTGTGTCAGTGTGTGTGTGTGTGAGTGTGTGTCAGTGTGTCTCAGTGTGTGTGAGTGTCTCTCAGAGTGTGTGTCAGTGTGTCTCAGTGTGTGTGAGTGTGTGTCAGTGTGTGTGTGTGTGAGTGTGTGTCAGTGTGTCTCAGTGTGTGTGAGTGTCTCTCAGAGTGTGTGTCAGTGTCTCTCAGTGTGTGTGTGTGTCTCAGTGTGTGTCAGCGTGTGTCAGTGTGTCTCAGTGTGTGTGAGTGTGTGTCAGTGTGTCTCAGTGTGTTTCAGTGTGTATGTAAACATTAGTTAGTTGTAGTCCAGACAACATCTGTCCCTGAGACCAGACAGACCCCCTCCTGGACAAATGTCTGCAGAGAGAGGGTCACTCCTCCTGGGAGAGAGGAAACAAATGAAGGGGGAGAAATGGGGCCCTGGGAGCCGTCACTTTGTCAATGAAAGCGACCCCCCCTCCCCCATCTGTCACTAAACTTTACAGCCGGACAAACTCTGTCTCTGAAAAGCGTCACAATAAAGTTCAATACAAACTTTTTGTCTTGAAAAATTACGCTTTTTAACAGAATTAAAAAAGTATATACATATATTATTATTATTTAAATATTAAAACAAATGTCATTTATTATGAGAACCATGACTTTTCCTCTTAAATGTGTGATTTTGTTCTGCGTTTTCTCACAATTTTCTTGTACTTTTTACATAAAAAAAAATACATTACTATCATTTAATAAATATTATATTTTATTATTACCACCTTTCCCTCTAAAAATTTGACTTTACCAGACTTCAGTTTCTTGACATTTTACCACTTTTTACAAACACAATTTGATTAATTCCCATCAAACAGGCTTTTGATCTGGTTTCATTGTCTCGTGTTTTACATTTGTTTCATGTCCTGTCTGTTTTTTATGTATTTATACAGTTGTTGATGTAAGCACTTTGTTCAACTCTGTTGTTTTTAAATGTGATATAGAAATAAAGTGGATTGGATTGGAAACACAATCAATAAAATCAATTCACAAAAAGGCAGCTAGCTTACCTTAGCTCAGAAGCTAGTTAGTGAATGTTAGCTATCCAGCTATCTATGGCTAAATGGGTGGTCAGCTACTCACAGCTCCAAACATCGACGTAAAGTCTAAAAATATACGTTTTCTAGATAAAGAAATCACATATTGGCAATCTAAATGGTTAGTTTCATAAATTAAAAACGACTATAACTTAATACAGGTCATTTAAAAGCTTCAAAACCGTTTATTTGGCAGGTAAATGTTGATAGTGCTGGCTACGCTATGCTAAGTAATAGCATTTAAGCTTTAACAGGAAGTACCAACACAACATACAGCTCCAAACATCAACGCAGTACCTAAAATATACGTTATTTTAATAAAGTAATCACATATTGGTAACGTAAATAGTTCGTTTCTCACCTAAAACACGGTTATAACTTAATACAAGTAATTCAAAGCTAAAAAACGTAAATATTGATAATGCTAAGTGATAGCATTATGCTTGGAGGTACCATCACAACATAAAGCAGCTGCAAACATCAACGTAATACCTCAAATCTGCATCTTTGTGGATGAAGTAATCACATACTGGTAATATAAATAGTTAGTTTCTCCCCCTAAGAGTGAAATAACTTAATAACAGCTCATTTAAAAGCTTAAAACGTGTGTATTTTGGCAGGTAAAGGTTGATAAAGCTAGCGATGCTACGCTAAGTGATAGCATTATGCTTTAACTGGAGGTATCAACACAACATAAAGCAGTGTGGAAGAGAAGAGCTGCAGAATACACACACACACACACACACACACACACACACACACACACACACACACACACACACACACACACACACACACACACACACACACACACACACACACACACACACACACACACACACACACACACACACACACACACACACACACACACACACACACACAGCTAATCACTGCATGTCTGTGTGTGTTTTGTATGTTTGCCAGTGTGTGTGTGTGTGTGTGTGTGTGTGTGTGTGTGTGTGTGTGTTACAGAGAGAGTTATGATCAAGACCATAAAATGAGTTTTATATACGTTGGCTCCACAGGATAATTTATGAAAAGTCTCTCAGAAAACATTCAATCTGCAGCGAGGCGGCTCGATATTTAACGGAAATTCATAATGAAATTTACAATAACACAGAATCAACAATAATCTCTGATCTATAATGGAAAGAAATGCAATAACATAGATGTTCCCATGTTTGAAAAATAGCACATGAACTATTTCTTTTATATGGTTTTAAAACATAAGAATAATCAGCTAATTAAATTACCTCTATCATGTGGCTTGGGACAAATGTTAAAAATGAGACTTGGAGGGCATTTCAATGTCAATCACAGATATTTTCCAAATGAAAGAGTAAACCATGATAAAATAAATAACTTCTGTTAATATTAGAGAAACCTCTGCAGGCCTGAGTGTGTGTGTGTGTGTGTGTGTGTGTGTGTGTGTGTGTCAGTATTGATTGCAGTATATCAGAGAGCAGTGAGGGTAATGAAGCTCTGCAGTTACTGTAAACTCTGCAGGAGCAAAACATAAATCTGTATCCACAAACACACCTCACAGATATAAGATACAAATATATATATTTAAATATAATGAGTACACTTACATCTCAATTAGTTTGCCCTGTTTCTCATCAAACTATGACTTTTCTTGCAATATCACAACTTTTTATCTTAAATATTTTGACTTTTCTTTGTAAAATGTTGTGGCTTTTTTCTTAATTTATAAAAACTGACTTGATTCTTGACCTTTATCTAGATATACACTTCTATAAATATAATATGACCTATATCTATATATACACTTCTATAATATAATATGACCTATATCTATATATACACTTCTATAATATAATATGACCTATATCTATATATACACTTCTAATATAATATGACCTATATCTATATATACACTTCTATAATATAATATGACCTATATCTATATATACACTTCTATAATATAATATGACCTATATCTATATATACACTTCTATATATAATATGACCTATCTATATATACACTTCTATAAATATATGACCTTTATCTATATACACTTCTATAATATAATATGACCTATATCTATATATACACTTCTATAATATAATATGACCTATATCTATATATACACTTCTATACTATAATATGACCTATATCTATATATACACTTCTATAATATAATATGACCTATATCTATATATACACTTCTATAATATAATATGACCTATATCTATATATACACTTCTATAATATAATATGACCTATATCTATAATACACTTCTATAATATAATATGACCTATATCTATATATACACTTCTATAATATAATATGACCTATATCTATATATACACTTCTATAATATAATGACCTATATCTATATATACACTTCTATAATATAATATGGCCTATATCTATATATACACTTCTATAATATATATGACCTATATCTATATATACACTTCTATAATATAATATGACCTATATCTATAATACACTTCTATAATATAATATGACCTTTATCTATATATACACTTCTATAATATAATATGACCTATATCTATATATACACTTCTATAATAATATGACCTATATATATATATACACTTCTATAATATAATATGACCTATATCTATATATACACTTCTAATATAATATTACCTATATCTATAATACACTTCTATAATATAATATGACCTTTTTATTGCAATACTACCAAGTTTTTCTATTGGAATATTACAACTTTTTTCCTCCTGAAAATATTAAACTTTGATCAAAACTCTTTACTCTTTTTGATTCTTACTCCTCTTCTTCTTCTTTCCACCTCCTCCTCCTCCTCCTCCTCCTCCTCTTCCTCCTGCAGTTGTTCCTGCTCATGTTAGCACCTCCTCCTCCTGATGATAAATCTAACGCCCCTGCAGCTCCTCACCATGAACCTGGTCTCTGACCTCCTGACCCCATGCCATCAATCTAAGGGGGATAAAAAAACAGACGCTGGCCCTTTAATCTTACCCATAGCTCTGGGCAGCCCATCCCCCATAATGCACCTTTAGTTCTTAGATTTTAAACCTTATAATTGACAACACATGAGACTGCAGTTATATATAAAAATGCAATAATGAATAATAAATGGGATTTGTTTTTCATGAAATATTCCGCCTTTTTTAATAAAAAATACTATTAAAACAATCATTTAAATATAACATAACATAAAACAGCAAAGAGCCGGATTCCCGTCCCTATTGTTGACCATCACAATAAATACAAATACAACAGAAAAACAACAACAAACAACTCGTTAGTCGGAATCACCATAATAATAATAATAAATAATAATTTATAGAATATTCCACACTGTGCACCTTAAAGTCATGTGACATAATGTCAGGTTAGTGGCATCATAATAATAATAACAACAACAATTTATAGAGATATTCCACACCACCACATCCTCACAGGAGCATGATGGGAGATTGATTCCCTGCATGTGACTGTGTAGTATTTTTCCAGCACGCAACGCGCACACGCCTCCTCCCTACTACTATGAGCCACATGAGCGCGCACCTCCATTCATGCACCCCCCCCCATGTAGTAAAAAGCGCGTGCACGAGAGGAGACACATTTGGAAAAATATTTACAAATAAATAAATACAACTGTTTCCGGTGGAGCTGTCTGATGATCGATCCGTGTGCGTGCCAGAGCAGACAAT